ATCTGTCACAAAATATTTACAAATTTATAACAATCAATTTATTTTTTTTTTAACTCTCTTTAGCATCTGGAGATTCGAACTTACGATCTACAACATATATGATTGGGATATCGAACTCACAATATATTAGTTGAAGTTATATGTTAATTACTGTTGAACTATATTCGCTTTAACTAGAAATAGATGCTTTAAATAATTAAAGGTTGACTAGTTTTCTTTTTATTAACCTTAAAAAGGTTGATATATGGAACTTTAGGTCCAACATATATGTATGTCTAATCATTTAATTTCTTTGGGCCACGTTACAAAGTAAAAAGTACTTTTCTATTGGATGTTGAATATTTCTATATTGACACTGTTGAAATATTGACAGCTCATTTTTTTTTTAAGAATTCTATTTTTACATTTCTTTTATCTTATTTAATTTGACAAATATTTAATAGTGGTGGTTATATTTTCCTTGAGAGATTAGAGATTTATTTCGTACAACGTCTCTATTTTTTCTTAATACAACAATATGTAAGAATAGAGATTCAAACTCACGATAATCTTTTGATAAGACATAACTTAACTATATCTTTCACTAATAAAATATATAATGATATTCTAACAGAGATTTTTATCATTGTGCCTACCATTTAATTTTTGACAGAGAGAAGAGAGTATCATATGGCATGAAAAAGAAAAGATAAGAGAGGCGTTTTTCCAACAAGTGTCGTTGGAAAACACCATCTTTTATTTTCTCTCCTATATCCTATATCCAACGGTGTAAAATCGTCAGCTGGAAATAGTTTCTCTCTCTTCTCTCTTTGTGTGCACTGATTTAAGGGGTTTGAAGAAGCAGCATATGGGAATGAAGTGTCTGTCTTCTCAGAAACACATCAAAAACACAGTTTGATTGATAAGATGGCCAAAATTACCCCTATCTTCTTCTTCTTCTTCTTCTTCTTCTTGATCTCCCTTTGCTTTTAATTTCTTTTTTCCCTTTTCTGCCCTTCCCTTCACTGTACTTTTTCCCTCCATATCTCAAAAAATATAAAATTAAAAAATTGAAGAAAAAAAGCTTTCCTTTTTTGGGTTCTTCTCTATTCTAATTCTTCTCTTTCTGTTCCTTCCCCTATTTCAATGACCATC